CTCTTCAGAAGCATCGGCACCCATGGGGTAGGACTTACCGTGAAGGCAAGCTTGCCAGGTATGAGAACACGACAGGGTTATTCTTTGTACATGGTGATTTGTACTAGAATTACCCTTGCAATGCAGTGACTAGTTAAGTAGCAAGTGTTTTCAAAGCCTAGAGTTCTGGTGACACCTTTCTTGATATGACATTAGAAGTCTGTGATGAGATTTAAATTAAAGTGAGCAAGAAAGAAATCTCCATTGTTTTCCACCATACTGAGCACTGTCCTTTTTCTGCTTCTTGCCTGGAACGTAACTCCACCATACAGTCAGTCCAAGCTCTGAAAATCTTGGCCCTGGGCAAACCAAGACTCAACTCTTCTGCCACTAGACCTCCTTTTGACACTCTGCCTCTCTGTGGCCCACTAAAATACAGTAGCACTGTGTTGTTTTCTGCCAGACATGATTTCATGGTCCTTGGAGTTTGTTTCAAAAGTTGTAGAGCTGGTTTAGCTTAAGTAGGTAGGCACTGAAAATTTCTTCTTTGCTTTGAATACCGTTAGTGTTTGATAACCATGCTCAGCACCTAAAGAATGCTTTCAGAGGACAAACGTGGGATCTAGCAGTCTTGCACAATAGAGGTGACATGTCCAAGTATTTGGGTTGGAGATGTTTTTGCCATGACTGGAGCAGATGGTTTCAAGTTCAGTAAATTTTTTGAAACCTGGACAGGTGATTAGAAAGAGGTTTTTAGTCCTGGATCTAAAATATCCATTGATTTCCAATGATGTGATTGTTCTCAGAAAGAATTTCATCCAAAGGCTTCATTGAATTGCTTTAGAGTATTAAATACACAGTTTGGGTTTTGAGCAGCAGATGTTATCTCTTTTCAACAGGTGAAAGTCATCTGTATTTAGCACATGGTAAATTGCAGTAGTGAATTGACTGAATTTCTTGGAGGTGTTTCTTTTTTTGAGAGATTTTTTCATCATAAACTGCCTGCTTATACAGGAGGTTACCCTGACACCTATGCTGATTTGATATTTGCTGTATTTTAAACTTACTTGCTTTTGCCTCATTCCCATGGGATTGCATGGTTCTGGTGTTTTGCACCTTGTCACCTGGCACTTTTCACTTTGAGAGCACCAAGAGAATTAAACATTCTAGATGTTATGCTCTCCTTTTTCTGTATCTGGTAATTACGGAAAAATAACTCTAGGCATTTCTTTTCCTGATCAAACTGCTTCTACTCTGTCCTGAGTTGACCTTTTTGAACATAATTCATATAGTCACATTAGTGTACATAATTTTTAATGGACGTGTAATAGATAAAATCCCTGACCTTTGAAGTCCTATGCTAATTCAATATAAATGATCAGAAATAAATGTTGGAGAAAGGTGAGTGAATGAATAATGAGAAGAGAGAGCATAGTATATCTAAAAAATTGTGGCAAGGAGACAAAGTACTGGTTTAAAGTAAAATGAGAGAAAGAGAAACGTCTGAGGAGAAGGGTGTACCCAGCACAAGGAGGAGTACATTCTGAGACTTTTGCCTTGTGGGTTCGTGCTGTAAGTGGAACGTGGGTTGGACCTTGATGCAGAAGGAGGGAATTAGAAGAGAGCATTGAGGAGTTTGTGTGATGTGTTAACAGAACCATTGAGAAGATAAAATTTTGGCCTCTCTGATTTGAGTAACTGGAGTAAAGATGGGATATTGGGAGCTTAGGCTCCAGATGTCTAGAAGTTGAGGTGAGGTATGTGGCAGATCTAGTAGTTAAATTCTGATCTCCTCCCTGCTTTTATGACTCTCTGCAATTTTGAGCATATCAGTGAGTCTCTCCAGCTTGTGTTTCCTCCATTTCTGTTTCCAGTTCACAGATGGTTTAAGGCATTTCCAACTTAACTGCTATTTTGTGAAGGATTGTTTCAGGCCTTACACGGAAGATGTTACAGATGTACTTGTTATTTAGGTTGACAGATGGAAAGGATATACACCAGAGATTTGGCTGTTTGGGTGGTGGTGTTGAATAGCTTTGAAAACTGTAAAGAAGAAAATGAGAAAATTTAAAATCCTGGCTTTGGAGAATTGAGACGTGACATCCATGTCATAAGACCACAAGTACATGCCTAGGTTATGTGTAGAAGGAGAGGAAAGGGAACTTGAAATCTTGCCATTGGAGAAGAAGATGAGAGGCTCTGAAAGGAAAGGGAGGAGGAAAGCGACAACTGTGAGTGAAGGAGAATGAGCAGATATGAGTCCCTTCTCATAACAGCGTAGGTCATTAGTAACTGTGATGAGGTTATTTGCATTAGGAAGAAAAAATGAAGAGGATCACTGGAAAGCAAGACCGATGGAAGCAGGTCAAGGCGATAGAAACGCACAGTACTTGTAGTCCTTAATGAGGAAATGAAAGTAGGCGAGTTATGACAGTCATCTTGCTGTGAGGCAGCCTGACCACTGCTGAATTGTGAGCAGTGAGGAAGCCAGCCCTGACGTTGTTTTCAGTGGGAAGATGATGTATAACCTCACACTGAATCTGTAGCTTGCTCCATATGGTAGTGTGTTAACACAGGATTTAGTCTTTTAATAAAACACTTTTGTCTAGCTCTTTCTGCTTTATGTAGCCTTGACTGCTGCTCTTGTCTTCTCTTCATGCACTCGTAAGTGAATAAAGGGGCAGCTATAAATGCCGTTGGTGTGCAGTGACGGAGTGCTCCTTGAAGGTTTGGTTTGTTTTCTCTCGACGGCCCGCAGGTGGGAGTATGACGAAAGCTATTGTGATGCTGTGAAGAAGACTTCACCCTATGACTCGGGCCCCCGTCTCCTTGATATCATTGACACTGCCATCTTTGACTATTTGATTGGGAATGCTGACCGGCATCACTATGAGAGTTTCCAGGATGATGAAGGAGCCAGTATGCTCATCCTCTTGGATAATGCCAAAAGGTAAGGGAAGCCCTGGTGGCCAGGGGGTGGTGAGCACAAGGGCACACATTTATCTGCTCTGTATCTCTGTTTTCTCTCACTATTTTTTTCGCTAATACCTTTTGTGCTAAAGATCCAAAGCTTTCCTTCGTATCAGAAGTTACTCACCGAATATTAGGGTCCTTCAAAGGCTCTGATGCTTACTCTGTGCTCTAGATACTGTGACTGCTTTGGGCAAAGTCTTACTCAAACTACAGAAATGCCCAAATTAGCACAGTATGACCTTTTTTCCCAAGCAGCTTTCAAAGATTTGTTCGTGTCTCTCCTGCTTGCCACAGAAGAGCCCCATCCTTTTAGGCTTTTAATTAGAGAAAGATTAAAAACTTACGATTTGTTATTTACCAGTGAGTATTAGTGAGTGCCATGGTAAAAGTAGATCTTTTCAGAAAGTGTTTCTGAATAATTTGGCATTCTCTGCCTTCTGGATCTGTCTGCTCTGACTTTAAAAGGTTAAGATTCAGATGGAGGTAGAGCTGATACTGAGAGCAAAATGTAATGATGCCCTGAGTGTGGACACTATTATTGAAACAAAAATTAAGCACATGGTAACTGAGAGGAACTGATGAGAGTCCTTCTTGAGGGGAAACTTGTTTATATATGTTATATGTGTTTAAAATGTGAGTTGTTCTGTCTTTGCTGTAGTTTTTGTATGGTCACTGGTATAGTTTAAGTTAAAAATCCTATCGAAGATACAACCTTGTTTAAATCATAGCAATTTGCTTAATTTTTCTTAAAAATAAAGATAACCTCTTCCACTTTCTTGTGTTTTAGTCCAGAGACTCCCGAGTTTGTTTAGTTTGTTTAGGTTTTGTTTTGTTGTTTTTTTTTTTTCTGATGGGCACTGCCATCTGCAGCGGCAGAGAGTTTCCCCTTCTGCAGATGGACCAGCTTCCAGTGGTCACAGCTCTGGCAGTTCCTGTGCCAGGCTCTGCTCTGCAGTGGCATTGCATACCACTGGTAGGAAGTGTACACAGCACTTGAGACCTCTGATCTAGACAGATCCTTGGAAGGCTTGGAGTTACCATTTTTTCCCCCGTTTGCCTTTCCTATAGCGGATTTTTTCTTTCCTTCCTTCCTTTGTTTCTAATTTGTCTGCAGTGGCTGAGTTGAGTATTGTCTTTACGCACCAGCCTATTCAGTAACAATCCTTCAGTTGTGTCAGCAGGATGCGTTCCACCTTGGGACTGCTTAATTACTGCTGCTTTCAGACTGCTTTAGGTGAATTTAGCAAAAATTCTCTTTCTATAATGCTCTGGCACTGTGTGAGGAGGAAGTTAATGCATTAGTCACTGGAAGTGAATATGGTAGTTGAAGGTCATGTCAGACCTTTCGTTATTTTACGTGCTTATAACATTATGAAAACGTTTCTGGTGGGGCTTTACAGGTCCAGAAGTAAATTGTTTTCTTGAAAGCTTAAGTAAAGCTCTTTCCGTTCCTTTGAGATAAGAGAGAGAGGGATAGTTTTATCATAGGATATCTCCAGTTGGAAGGGACCCATAAGGATCATAGAGTCCACCTCCCTGCTCCTCACAGGACTACCTAAAACTAAACCGTATGACTAAGAGCATCATCCAGATGCTCCTTGGTGCTGTGACCACTTCCCTGGGGAGCTTATTCCCATTTTAAAGCTATTAACAACAGAATTATTTGAGCAGAGTGATGCCAGGCTCCTAGAGTAAGTTCTCCTTATTGAAAGGAAAGTTCTTTGTTGAAAGCAGTACTATGAGGGAAGTGAAACTATTAAAAAAAAAAAAAAGTACATGTTTAGATGAAGCTTGAAAGACTATGAAATGCTTTTGACAGGCCTCCCTTAGAAAGGGTGATAATGAAATGTTAAAGTTGATCACCTTTTTTGAACTGTTGATCTGAGCTTGTCCATCTAAACCAGCATGTGGCTGCTATTGCGTTCATTCCTTGTCCAGCTGTGTCAGGGTGTCAGGCAAAGCTCCTGCTCTCCACATCCAGAATACCAGTTACTCCTTTCCCCTGCTTTGCAAGATGAGCTCAGTTTCTAAACTCTGATGTTTGTTTCTAAGGTGCTTGGTCTGATAAAGAACTAGGTACACTGGTGTTGCTTTCACCTATCCGGTACGTTAGCTGATGCTGTTGGGAGTTATATCTGTAATCAGTCGTAGCCTGTTTGTATTTTAATTTGATCTGTTGAAGCGTGAAATTGCCTTGTATTGATTTTTTTGGAATTCTTTACGAATCTGTTGATGTTGAGAACAACATTAGGAGTTCAATTGGTTCACTTGGTTTTAATTTTACTTTTCAGCTTTGGAAACCCTGCCCTGGATGAAAGAAGCATCTTGGCTCCTCTTTATCAGTGCTGCATGTAAGTGAAATGCAGGGATGCCGTTCACATTACTTATGCAATTGCTGCCCTTAAGTTTGCAATATAATTAAGTTTGAAGCCTTCTGGCAATCTGCAAATGTTTACTCGGGTACATAGTGCTTTCCTTTTTTGAGGTACTGTGTTTGTTTGATGTATTGTCACTGCTCAGGAAGCTGAGAAACAAATTTTCATTACGGTAGTAAATCAGACGGTACACTGTAGGAATTAGTCCTGCCTCCAGGCCACTGGTTCAAATCTATCCCTAGTCAGCATGACAAGTACTTTGCATCTGCAGCTGTCTCTATCCAGCTCCTGCCGAATAAAAGTTCACATCACAGTTTGAGTTCTTCCTGACAGAAGCGAAGGATTCAACGTGGCTGGCAGCTTAACTACCTGCCTTTCCGAATGTTCTTTCTAAACGAGACTGCAGCACTGCTCAGGGTGCTCCTTTCAAAGTGAAGTTTGTGGGGTTTTCGCAGGATTTTGATTCCACTTTGGCCTTGTGAGCTGTGGTTTTTGTTCATTTTATTTTTAGAGGCTGTGACTTGTTTTCTGTGGCCATTCTCTCACCAGGCCAGTGCTGCTTCTCATTAAGAAATAGATAAAAGTTCCAGGAAGACAAATACTGATGTATCTGTTTTCTGCCTCTGTTACTTCAAGATAATTTGGAAAGCCTCAAGGAGTTACTGTTAAGCATTTAGTTGAGAGTTCCTTGAGCCTGTCCTTGGAGAGTTCTGTCTCCCGAATTCCTTGGGACCTGTGAAACCTGGGAACTGTGCAGAAAGCCTGAGCTCTCATCCCTGCTTGCACTACGCAAGGCTCTATGTGTGCGACGGTACACCTGGCCTATGTTCTGCAAGATTCTTGCAGAATCCATGTGGAGAACAATTATATATATATAAATCAGATTCTTTGGTTTTCCTACATTAATTTTAAATGCATATTTAATTTCCTAGTTTATGAGGATATTTTGGAGTCTTTCTCATTTAGGTTCTCCCAAGTGCAACCAGAAGAGAAGTTTATCTATGTAGGAGACTTTGAAGTTTCCTTCTTTTCATACATCATCTCCTCCTGATGCCAGGCAAATGCCATGTAAGAATTCATATGCGTAATTGTTTTAACTACAGGTTTGTTACAACACTTGCTTATATTGCTGATTTCTTTAGAGGCCATCAAAAGCCAAAAGTTTAGACCAGTGGTGCTAAAACACGAAAATTTGGAGGAGAATCCCAAGAGACTTCACAGAACAGGATGGTTTAGATGGGCTGACGAGAAGAAGTTCGATTGTTTTTATGCCACATTAGACTCTTAATTCATTAGAATAATTCATTATAATTATGCCACATTAGACTCTTTTGTCTTCACCTTCAGTTTTCAAGTTTCACTTAGATATTGCAAATAATGCAGTTATACCTGGACCCCTATGCCAAAACCACTTTGTAATAAGACTCTTTTCTTTTTAAATAGAATCGTGATGTAACAGGCTCCCTCAAGAGGTTGGCTTTTGGTATTGCTGATGGGACTTCAGCTGGATAGCGGTATGATGACATCTTTGTTTCTTTCTTTTGCAGCATCCGGGTTTCTACCTGGAACAGACTCAATTACCTGAAGAATGGAGTACTGAAGTCTGCCTTAAAAACTGCTATGTCGCATGACCCCATCTCACCAGTGCTTTCTGACCCTCATCTGGATGCCCTAGACCAGCGGCTTCTCAGCATTCTGGCTACAGTGAAGCAGTGCACAGACCAGTTTGGGCCAGACGTTGTGCTGGTGGAAGACAGGATGACACTGTCTCATTTGTAATTGTAGTGGAACACAGATGAAACTCCTTTTTTTAAAAAAAAAAAAAAGAACAAACGAACAAACACACAAAAAAGCGATAGAAAAACAGCACAATCAGTTCAGAAAGGCTGTGGCCAAGATGGACTGAAATGAACAGGAAAGCTTCCGAGCCAGAGAAACAGAGGTGACACTGGCTTTTGCCTTGGGCTGACAGCAGTGAGAGGTGGGAAGTTGGAGCCTTGGATGGCTCAGTGCCCATAAGGGCATCTTGGCCGTTGTGGTGTGTCCATTGCCGGCAGTGGACATGGCACTGGATAAAAGTGGCTCTTGGTGTTGGTGGAAGTGTGTGGAACACAGACACTAATTGGTGGACTGAATCTAGAAGGGACAAATGGAGATGAACAGTACCATCCCCTCCCCTTCTCTTCCCTACATACACTCTTGCGAGTTTTTTTGTCTGATTCAGGGTTGTACATAATCAGCTGGGAGCTGGTTAGGCGTTTTACTGCTTCTTTAGAGAAAGAGGAAGTGGTGAATAAAATAATTATTAGATTGAAGAGTCGTGCCACCCCCTCGGGGGTGGGATATTCTTCTGAATGCCATTAGGGGTGGGAGAGGGGACCTCTGCTGCTCAGTTGTCTTTTTCCTCCATAAAAGGCTGGGAAAGGGGTTTGCCTCTTGATAACACTTCAGTGTTTTTGCTGAAGTCCTTAACAAAGATTTATCCACAGGGTTGGAGATTTAGGGGAGGACAGGGTGGTTATACAGCACTTGGTAATTAAGGGGTTTATGTAAGTTTCCACGTGTCCTGTCACTGTTTTCCATTTATAGGGAATCTGGCAAGGTCTGAGTAGAGAAAATATCCTTGCAGTCCTGTGTCCATATTAACCAAATTTTCATTGTATTGTAGCTGAGGAGGAGGACAGAATCTGTCCTTGGAAGCAGGTTCTGTTTAGCGAGGACATGCTGCTTACTGTGTGCCCTATTTAACGTGGGGAATCTGGGAGTGTTGCACTGGCGAAGGAGAGGTGTGTCGCTGGACTTCCCAGTAACCAACAGCCGTTGGCAAGGCCCTGAAGAGTGGAGAGAAACCAAAGCTGTGGTCTTTCTTCTTTGTCTGGTGTGGAGAGAGCTTCCTGCTGCTCAATGTTGTAACCACAGCTCAGTGCTGCTGTTTTGTGGACACCAGCAGTTTCCCAGTCCCACCGTCTTCCTGGCCTGGCTTGTCGCTGAGCTCTGAAGCTGTGAGCATTTCCAGTAGGGTTTCTGCCTTCACCAGCTGCTTCCTGCAACCCCCAGTGTGATGTTCTGACTGGGGTGATCATCCCGCCGTCCTCGCTCCTGATGGTTTTGCCGTAGATAGGGGAGAGTTTTGGTGTAAGTCAGCTTTTCAGGGCAGACTCGTGATGCTCGTCTTGTGCTCGTCCTGTCACCCTTCAGCACTGCGTCAGCCCGCGCTGCAGATGAGCTTGCGGCTGTAAAACTTGTCACGCTTGTGGTAGGTCTGAGTCTGTGTCTCCAGAAGGGAAGCAGCTCCATCATTACGTTTCCAGATTTAACAGCTTTGCATCGGTTTTCAGTTCGGATGGTATGTGTGGTCCTTAGCAGTGAGGAAAGAGCTCACTTCACAAAGCAATTACGTGTTATTGAACTCGTGAGCAAGCGCAGCAAAATGTCAGTTTAAGACCTTTTCCTTGATTTGTCAGAATCTTTCTAGCTCTGCAGTGATGTGGTGGGCAGATGAAGAGCTATTGCCTGTTCTCGCGTCTGCTGCCATACCTGATCAAAGAGGTGTTCATGAGAGAGTTTATTTTAAAAGTGCAGTTTTATTTTGTTGAAGTCTTTTTGTCGTTGCCTGAGCAGAGTGTCTTAAAAGTAGAACACGACTGTTTACCTGAAATTGGATTTTATGTTCATCTAGATCTCTTCTGGACTGGGCCACATCACAGTCAGGATGGGGTCTGGAGTTATTTATTGATGTTACTAGTGAGGGCTGTAATGCACAGCCAGCGTTAGGCACACTTGTGTTAAACCAGTGCCTGTTTGTTGCTGTGCTTGATGACATGTAACACGTGCTTTGGAAGCCGTGGTCCTTCAGCGGTTTAACCCACCACGTGGGCTGTGCCTTGCAGGTTCTCTGAGGGCAGAAGCGCGGTGGCTGATGGTGAGCATGGGCAGGAGTGGTGCAGGGATGGACCCACTTCCTCGCTGCCCTGGCAGGTGGATCTCGGCGGCTGAGCTGTGGGCAACAGCTCGGTGGTTGGTGAATGCTTCTGTTCTAAAGCAGAGTGGATTCATACCGAGACATTTTGGCATAAACTGTTTTCCAGGAAATTGAAGATGGTTTAGACAAAGGAGAGGCGGTGAAGCACGTGGTAGGGGCTTGTAGCATTTCTAAAAGCGTGTTCTTCTTTTTGAACTTAATTATGAGCACTTAATATTTTGGGAAGGATCTACCAAAATTTGAAGTTTTGATTTATATTTGATAGCTCTTGATCGTTTACGTTTGATTTAATAATAGATTAAAAAAATCTTTATTAAATCGGTGTTCAGGGCTGATGTATCACTTGTTCACAGGGCTCTAAGCTGAAGCCTTTGCCATCAGATGGAACCTGGAGATAAGTTTTCCCCTGGTATGAATGTCAAAGATTTAAAGCACTGTATTGGTTTAGTTGAAAACAAAGGGCGTGAAGTCCAGCATCGTCAGTAGGAGGAAGCAAGAAATGGTTGCTTTTTTTCTTCTTTTTTTTTTTTTTTTGTCAAGTTGATGCTTCTGGTCACTGTAAACACCACTGGAGCTTGGTGTTCTGCAGCAGGAAAGAAGAATAAATTCCTCACCTACCCCAAATCAGGAAGATTTTATTTTGGCCTTGTGATAATCTCTAGCGTTTGGCAGTGATTGTTGTTTTGCTTGAATACAGAACCCTGAGAAATTCTGAATTGCAAGCATTGCAAAGGAAATACAGAAGCAGCGCCCACATGCAAACAGGATCTGCTTGAATCTCTGAAAAACAACGTCATTTGTGAGGCAGGTGCTGTGTCCTGTCGATGGGATTTTCATGACACCTTCTAATTCTTGTTCACTGGGCACACTGTAATCCGCTGGCTCCAGATGTTACAAAATGGTTGTGTTGTGGATATGAGTAATATCAGAGCGCTTGAAGCACAGAAATGAAGAACTAATTAAAAAGAGAGCATCATCAGCCATCTGCTATTTATCTCCTCCTTCCTAAGTCAGCAGTCGGGCTGGAGGAGACACTGAAGACGGCTCCTCTTCCAGCAGCTAACGAACTGGAGTGTCTCTTGCCAAACAAACTTCAACTGCAAAATACTAATTTATTAAGAAGGTAATTTATTTGCTGTGGCAGCTGGAGCAAGATACTCGAAACAGACACCCCTCTTGGAGCTGTCAGAGGATTGCCCCTGGGAGCAGCTGCACAAATGCAGGTTGCTAATAAGAAAACAGAATGCAATCATGACTTTGTACTTGTATCCCCCAGGGTCAGATTCTGCATAAAGCAACATTGTGTGAATAAAGATTTTAATAAAGCAACATTGATGGATTGTTTAAATCTCTCTTTCTCCCCCCTGTCTCTCTCTTGTTCCAACATGTGAAGGGCTGAATGTTTAAAGTGTTTTGCTACTGATGTTCACGCTTATTTCTTCACTGAGAGTCATCAACAGTGTTTATTCCACTCATGTATTGCCAAGAATGGGGTCACATGTGCAGGTCATTTGCAAGAGCTTTGTTGGTAAGGAAAGATGTGTTTTTCAGAAGAATGTCCCAAAGTGATACAGAAGAACACATCTAGCTTTAAGTGGTCTTCAGAGAACAAACAGGTTTTGCTTTTCAAAGTGCATCCCATGGCCCTGCATCTGCCGAGCACCTAGACTGGTTTCTTTTCTGGTCCCAGTCGGTTGGCTTTGTTATACAGAGCAAGGGATGTATATCGAGTTGGCAAGAGATGTATAGAGAGTTGGCAGGTGTTCATGGTTGGCTTTTCTAGGCTTTTATTGAAGCCCTTTTATGAGACAGGGCAAGTAAACAGCCATCAGGATCTGTTCCCAGAGAGTGCAGGGATTTAATCTGCCTGTATCAGAGCTTGTTTTCGTAATAACCCACCGCAGCGAGTGTTTCAGAGGTAGGAGGTGATGCTCCCAGTTCTGAATGTCAGGGATCTGGAAGCCAAGGAAACCACTGAGAGCTGCCGTTGTACTCCTGAGGACTGCGTGACCTGGGCACAGGACACTACAAAAGCACCGAGGTTCTGCGCCGCTCCTGGAAGTGCAGGAGTGGTCTTTGACCTGGCCTGGTAGCATCAGCGTGGTGGTGTGAAACCACCAAAGGCACCTGCTTTTTTTTTTTTTTTTTAAATTAGAGTTTCTGAGTTGAGACTTTGGGCTTCAGCATTGCTGAGTTTTGTAAGAACTGTTTGTGGGGGATTATTTTGGGGGTTTTAGGGGGGAGGATGTTCTGGGGTGGGGTTTTTTTTGTCTCCTAGCATTGTGTGGTGACAGTAATTTTTCATATCCTCCATGCCTATTTTTGAGGTGCCAGCTTGCTCAGGGAGCAGGACAGCTTTCTCACTTGTGTATAAGCAGTTCAACAACTTGCAGAAACTATGGATGCTTTTAAGTTTTGAAAGGCTGAAATAGCTACTTTTGAGAGCTGTTTTTACACACACTTTGTTGTATTACTGCTGTGTAATTTTGGAGCAGTTGGCCTTAGTAACAGGGTGAGAATTCATATAACTGGAAGATTTTAAAGTGTTTCTGATTATGTAATGAAGGTAATTTTACAGAATAATGAACAGAGACGTTTTTGAGTCAGTGGAGAACCAAAGGTTTTTGAAAATTAGCACTTTCCCTCAATTTCTTTCAAATTTTTACAAATATTTATTACTTCTAAAAATGAGAAATTAAAAAGAAGTTCTTAGTTCATATATCCCAAGTGTGCGCCTGGTGCTCTGTTGTTTATTCTTTGTGGAGTCTCAGTATTTTTAAAGAGACTGAGGATAGGACTTTGTGGGGAAAAAGCCTAAAGGAAGGAGGAGAAAGGACTCCCCTTATATCCTTTATTCCAGATCTTCCTTTCATTTAGTGATCTAATCCATAGCTGTGTTCTACTGAGCTCTGGAGAGAGACTCTTCTCCTCCTCCTGCCTTCTGTCAGAGGTCAGCTATGGATGTGCAGAAGGAATTGGTGTATGGAAACTGGAAAAACCATTAAAGGATGGATGTCCGGCGTTTCCCTGTCCAGCAGGTAACAGCCTGTAGTCTAAAATCCTGGATTGCGAGGTTCCCCCGAGTGTTTGCGTGTGCCGAGTCCCGTCCGGGGCGCTGACTGAGCCGGGCATAACCACCTTTTCGTGGGGCTGTTTTTACTTTCTTTTTAGGTGATACCTGCACTGGGTAGAGACCTGACTGGACCCGCAATCGTGGATTTTTAATCAGGTGGTTGCTGCTCACCAGGCCTGGTTTGGAATAACCAGGTGTGAAGTGAAAAGCCATGTGTCCTGATGTCGTGTCCGGGGCCGTGCAGATCCCTGCAGCTACCGCTTCCTGCAAGACCCAGCTGAGGATTAGCAAATGCTATAGTGAGTGTTGCAGCAAGGGAAGGGAAAAAAAAAAAAAAGAGGGGCAGGGGGTGGGAATATAATCCCAGCAAGCTGTCCCAGGGCATTGACTGCTGGGCTCCCGAGCCCCATCCTTCCCAAGTCGGGTACGGGCGAGTTCTTCTCAGCGTAGGACACCAGGACCTCTTCCAGTCTCCTGCACCTTCCTGTCCTAGTCCCTGGGGATAATTTCCTCCCTGAGGCCCTGTAAAGGAAATTGAATTTTTCAGGGGGGTGGATTTTTCTTCCCCCCCACCCTTCAGCGCCTTGTTGACCTCAGAGCCGGGTCGAAGGAGGGGTGTAGTTGGCAGGTTATTAAACAACTGCTTTATTTTTCCCCTCCAGCTCTTATGATGTGCCGCGTATGAGCAAAGCTGACATCCCAGGAATTTCGCCGTAGTACTGTGGAGCTGGTGTGATGTTGGACAGTCAGTTGTTTTATCTTTCAGAATTTGCTTTCTCAGACTTTTTTTCCTTTGGAACATGGAAGTAACTGGTTTTTATGAAGTCTGTCCCTTCTGAATAAGGTCTCTTTGGCCAAAGCACTTATCCCTGGGAGGGTAGAGTTTGAGTGTTAACAGCTATGAATTTTTTTAGAAAATGTATATAAATGCTTCAATTCAGATGCTTCAAGTAGTTTTCAGAAAGGCTAATAGTTTAATTTGCTGTGGCTACTGTGAGCTTGATTTCTAGTTTGTTTTTTTCATGTGCACAGGTTTTAGTTCTGTTTAAGTTATTGCAACTGCCTCGTTAAGGTTTTAGCCTCAGTGATTATTTTTGAAGCTGGGGAGGAGGGGGGGGGCAATTATGATAATACCAGTATCTTTAGTGCTGATGTGTAATATATATAGGCACCTGTAGATGGTGATACATTCCGCTCCATGCCTCAGCCGTGCTGGATCCCGCTCCCCACCCACCTGAACGAGTGAATTGCCAGGCTGGATGAGTTGCATTTAGTGTCCTTATTTTTTGTTTTTGGAGCATGTGAGGTACCCTGGAAATTCTTTCCATGTCCAAAGCATCTTGGGCTCGTCTCAGCCAGGATGAGTTGTGAGTGGACTTATCGTTATGCTCAGTAACTTGTAGAGGTGTTACTGAGGTGTTACTCTGATAGTAAGTCAGCAGTGGGTAGAGCTTAGGTTAAAACACAAGTGACATGGGGCTTATCCACTTTTCATCTCCCCCACGCAGCTGAGGTTGTACTTAGCATGGCGGCACCTTTACCAGTTGTGCTTTGCAGGGTTGAACTTTACCTGTTTCCAAAATCAAAGCCAGGCTTCGCATGGGATTCTGGAATCTCCTGCCACTCCAGTCTCCTGACTGCATGGGCAGCCAGCCCTGATGACTGCTCGCTGCTTCCCTGCACAGGAGGGGTTCTACAGCTTGTTGGAGAAAACTGGTTGTTGGTGGTGGTAATGAGTTGTATCTAAGTTCTCGTACGTGATTTCACGGTGGATCTGTATATGCTGATCTGACTTTTTTTTTTTTCCTGGCTGCTTGAGCGGAGCCCACCCTACCTGGATTAATGTTTGGATGTACTGGTATACAAAGATGCACTGACATAGAGCAAGCAGCAAAGCTTCTTGAGTCGATGAGGAGTGACACACATCCAGTGTCGCACAGCAAACCTGTTTCTTCTCAGGCTTTAATCTAGTTGGTACACTGAGCTCATAGCACAGCTGGCAGCAAATAGACCCCACACAGCACTTTGCAGCTCCCAGTCTGGCTCATCCACTGTCTCCTGCTCCCTCGTTTATGCCTGTTATTTTTGTGTCCCCTTGGGAATGACCCTGAGGGGCCACAACTGCCAATGCCTGTTGTGTTTGTGGCAGCAAAACTTCAGCTGCGCCACTGGGCTGCTTAAAAACCAGATCATTTGCCTTCCCTGGGCGTTTGGTGTTGGTGCTGCAACTTTTCCCAGTGTGGAGGGCTGGTAGCGGTGCCGGGAAGCTTCCCTGGGCATCTCTCCAGCCTGGCTGGAAGAGGAGCCGCTTGCCTCCCCTCCCCTACCCTCCCCTCCCCTCCCAGTGAGGGTTGGCAGGACTCGGGGAGAAGACGGGCTCCAAATTTTGTGCAGAATGGAACCGGACGGGTGCCCAGTGCCTGCTTTC